TGGAGCTGAACAGATAGAAATTGAGGTTCCTTGGGCCACTTTGTCCCTCATTTCTGTTCTCTGCATGTCTTTCTGAATCTCCTTCTTCTCTCATGGGTTGATTGAAAGCCTGCTCTAGGCCAGGCGTGGTGCCAAGTGCTGGCTCTAGCTTGTGAATAGAAGAAGCAAGCTCTTGCCCTCAGGGGGCTGACAGTCCTGTTAGGAAGACAGATAGCATGGAGAGAAGCACATAATTATCGACCATGCTGTAGGGTGTGTCAGAATTTTCTTCCCTCTAAAGGCTGAATAATATGCTGCTGTATGCGTAGACCCCATTTTATTTACCTGTTCATCCATCGATGGACACGTGGGTTGCTTCCACCTTTGGACTATTGTGACCGAAGCTGCTATGAATGTGGGTGTACAAATCCAACCCTTTCCTTTAACAAGTTTAAAAAAAAAGTATATTTAAGGAAAGTGGACCAAGAAGAGACATAATGGAAGGCCCTAAACCAGTCTTGGGGGGAGGAGTCAGGGAAGATTTTCACTGGAGGAAGTCACATATTGGCTGGAACCCAAAGGATGAGAAGCTAACCGGGTAAAAGGTAAGTGAGGAAGAATTTTGGCCACACGTGACAGTCCTGTGGCAGAAAGAGGCTTGGGTTTTCCAGAAGTGGAAAAGGGGCCAGTGTGGCAGGGGCATAAAGATGAGGAGCGGGACATGGGATGGGTCTCGGGGTCATGTAGCACTCATTACAAATAGGCTTCTTCCTAAGAGCTATGGTGAACAATTGATGCCCTCAAAGCAGAAGGGTGAAATGTCTAACATTAAAAATAATCACTCTGGTCACCACAAGTGAAAAAAATTGGAAGCTAGAAGTAGGTGTGGGAGCAGGAATGAATGTGACCCAATTAGGCACCATGGTAGTTGCCCAAGCAAGAGGAGCTGGTAGCTTGGATTTAGCTGGTGGCAGGGGAGATGATAGAAGTAAGTTTTGAAAGGAACACTAAGGAGACAGTCAACATAACTTGATTGATCAGATCTCAGGAGTAAGGGACAAAGAGGTATCTGTTCGGCTCCCAGGCTTAGGGGATGAGCAAGTGGGTGGGTGTTGGTCTTATTTGCTGAGATAGGGAGCAGTCAAGGAGGCACAGGTTTAAGATGCATGGAGATTATTCACTTACTTTTGGACATCACAAAGTTGAGACTCCCAAATGACATGTGGGGTCAAGGTGAAGCTGTGTAGACACCATAGGGCATGGGGTTCTCAGAAGAGAGGTCTTGTGTGATGTTAGATATGTCTGGACGGGCAGACTGGACCATGTTGAAGATAACAATAGTAGCCATCGATACATAATAGCTATTACTGTGATCTTCATTTATAGCTGGTGACAATGAAACATGGAGAGGCTATGAAATCTACCTCGGCTCAAACAACTCATATATGATGATGCCGGGAGTGTAAGCCCAGGCACTCAGGCATTAGCATCTGCCTGTTTGTTCTGTGATCCCGGCTGCTAGAACAGTGGCTGTGCCTGGCCCAAACTTTTCCTTTTATAAATGAAAAAAAATCAAGAATAAGTCACTTGTCCCGGGCCACTCCAGCTAGCTATAACAGCCTTGGGACCAGAATCCACGTCTCCTGCCTCCCAGTTATGTCCCTTTTCATTTCAAGACATTCAAACCCCTTTTCCCAGATTAGGTATTATTAAATTTTTTTTAAAAATTGCTTTTCTCTCTTTCTAAACTTTTGGTAGTGAGCATGTCTATTGACAGTGGAAAAAAAGAAACTTGTTAAAGCAAAGACGTCAATATTGTTTAGCAGAACCCTGCTAAACCTGGCTCTGGTTTAAGGGAGGCACATTTGTGGTGTTTTATGGGGAAGAGGTTCAGAAGATGGCACAGTATTGTCATATTTGCCTTTGACGATTTCGAGCAAGTGTTTATGGGAAATTTTCTCCCTGGACCCATTGTGGGAACTCCACTCCTTAAGATGGAAAGAATGGAAGGGAGACTTTCCTAATTATAGGATGGCATACTGGGGATGATCAGGAGGTCTTATTTAGGTCAGGTTATTCTGAAATCCCTGAAGTCCTAGCACCCATCCCCATCCCTGCCTCTCTCCCTCCCTCCCCCTCCCTCCTTGCCTCCCTTCCTCACCCACCTCATCCAGAGATGATGGAGGTGCAGGGAGGAGAGAGGAGATCCAAGCTTGCAGAATGAGACATCCTTCTACTTTCAAGCTAAGCCGATCGATTCAGATGGACAGAAGTACTCTGATCAATTGTCTTGTAAGGAGAGCGAGATGTTTATCAAAGTCAAATACATTTCCCCCCGCACTGTTCTCCCTTTAGCAGGTATCATGGACTAAAATAAAACAATGTGGGTTTGATTTCGATAGACTTACTTATCTTGAAGAGTGTTCAGATTGCTCATTTTTTCCTTTCTCCCCCCCTTGTGCTGTTCATCAAGCCACCTCCCACTCATCATTTCATAGATTATTTATTTATATCTCAAGTCACTTCAAAAAAGCTGTGGCTTACCAAAAGAAAAAAGTCCAGACAATAAAACCAATAGTATATGAACTCAAATAGGAAAACAGAGTGGAGAAAAATTTAAATGTTAATTCCTGTTGCTCCAAGGGAGGGTAATGCCAGATTGGGAGTGTTCTGCTGGTCAGGATGTGAAAGGAAACATGATACACATCTCTCTCTTGATCAGGGAAAAGGAAACACTGTGGGATTTTTTTGTTTTCTGTTTTTTTGTTTTTTAGAGAAGACTAAACTTTTGTTGGTACTACACTTTGAAATTTATCCTAGGATACATAGTAGGGGAACAGGATGGACAATATCTGGACAACAGTTTTTGGATCAAATCATAATTTTTTCAAAAAGAAATTCACGTGGCTAGTTGTTATGATGACTTCTGATAGGAGTTAGAAATCCTGATAGTGGAGTTTAGCCCAGAGATGCTGATTGAGCGTGGGCATTTGATCAACTCTTGAAAGCACCTTGTAGAGCAAACTTTGGAAGCACTGAAGACTCTGACCAGGAATTGAGGCTCAAGAGGTGATGTGTCTTGCCTGAAATCCCCCCATGGGTCAGGAATAGATCTGTGATCAGAATCCAGGTCCTGAGCCTTGGTCATATTCTCTCTCTGATGCCCCATGACATCTCCCACAGCTAGGAAATGAGGTGGCTTGATTAGATTATTGTTAGAAGAGTAAATCAACATGTGATTAGGGTGATCATGTAATTTATCATCCAAACCTGGTCATGTTGAGACCACAGGAGGAACTATTTCAGGAGAAGAGATGCCAAGTGACATAAGTGGTCATTCTACAGACCTCAAGGTTTTTCTAGTTTACAGTTCATATCTGCTAACTAACCTAAACAACATAAATATCCATAAACTAGATGATCTTAAAGTTCTAACTTTTAAATAAAACCCAGTTCTCAAGTAAACGCACACACACACATACAATCTCACCATAATAGATAAATCATGACCTAACATAATCAAGAAAAAAGGGAGCCCAAATCAACAAAAGAGAGTGGAGAAACATTTAAAAGGATTCTGTAATTATTTCACTAAAACCCATTCCAATAAAGTTGAGAACCTGGGTGATATGGGTGCTTTCCCTGCTGTCTGTCATATAGCAATGCAGTGGCCTCGCTGGGGCTGGGAGCTATAGACCTCATGGCTTTTTGTCAAGTCATTTCCCTGCGAGTCAACCAGACTTCAGAATTTGGTTTCTGAAACTGTTTTCCAGCACTTTAAATCAGAGCTAAGATATCTGGGTAGCTTGGGAGGAACTTGGTTCTCCCACCAGGATGGGAACCAGATTATCTGCAGAGTTGGTCTCTGAGCGCACCTCTTCTGGCAAATGCCCACCTGTCGTCTTGTGACAGCAGTTTCATGGGCCACGCCCTAGCTGGCCGGCTCTAGAAATGAAACACAGGCTTGTGTTTGACCTTGAGAATCACGAGTCTCAGATCTTGGAGGTCTCATTCTGTCAGAGATTGGTTAGTTCTAGCCCCTCCCTTTACAGATGAAGAAATTGAGAACAGGGGAAGGAAGTAACTGCCAAGTTGGGCCTAATTTCATTTCAAGTTTTGTGTTTACTACTACACTCTCTTTAATGATACTAATATTAATAATAGTAACAAGTGATAGCTATTCATTTGTTTACTCCTTCATCTCCCCTTAATACCCGTATGAGGCAGACAGTCATTACATCATCCCCATTTTACAGAAACTGAAGCACAGAGGGGTTAAATACCTTGCCCAAAGACACACAGCTAGTTAGTAAATACCAGAGTTGAGACTTGACCCCAAGTAATCTGATTCCGGGGTCTACATACACCCTTACCTCCATTTTCTACTACAAGAGTTCTCGTATTATTCTGAGAATACATATATCTCTGATTATGTATATAAGGGAGCCACCAGGCATGGTAATTTTAAAGAAAGTGTCCCAAGAGATGAGAGAAACTATGGTTTACCTGATATTCTCCACGTGTCAGTCACTATTCTAAGTGCTTTTGCATGCATTAGCTCAGTAATCTTAAAACCAAATCGTCCCCCCCGCCAAAAAAAAACACAAAGAGGAGGATTCTTTAACCTCACTGATCAGATGGAGAAAATGAAGTCCAGAAAGTTTCCATAACTTGCTTGAGATGCTAAGCCTAGGGGAAATCCAGGCTTCACAGCCAGCCCACCTGGCAGGTGAGCATCACACTTCACTGCCAGTTAACTGGGCTCTTCATTCTGACCTCAAAGCTCTGGACAGACAGGTGTCATTTCTCACTACTCAGTCGCTTTTCTCCAATTAGATAAGGAACTGACGCTCAGAAAGTTGAAGCAACTTGCTGAGGGCCACACCGTGACTCGGTGGCAGCCTAGCCAGGGATCCAAACCCCACGGTATGCTGTCTTCACTTCCCCAGGTTTTAGGGATGCGGTCCAAGGCTCGCTCTCTGCGACAGATGCTCCCACTCGCAGGGCGCCAGACACAAGCCGGTCTCACCTGAGGCTCCGCGGCGTCCCACCGGGGCCAGACACCGCCCCCTGGCGGCAGGTGGGCGCAAGCGCAGCGCATGCTAATGAGCCCGCGGCGCGGCGCGCTGATTGGCTGGCGCGGATTCCAGCGGCTTTCCCGGGGCGGGGGCCGAGGCCGAGGGAAGGGGCGCCGCCGGCAGCAGCCGCCCCGCCCCGCGCTCCGGGCCGCCCTCCTCCCGCCGGGCCGCCGGGGCGTGTGCGGGGCGCGCGGGCGCCTTCGCCGGGGGTTCCCCTCCTGCGGTCCGCTCGGGTTCTGGTTCGGCGTTCATCGCGGGTCCAGGATGACGATCCGACACCAAGGCCAACAGTACAGGCCGAGGATGGCATTTCTGCAGAAGGTGAGCGCGGTCCGGGGCCCTGGGCCCTGGGAGGTGCGCGGGGTCCCAACTCTGGGAAGTGTCCGCGGAGATGCTGGGGAGGCGCGGGGCGTGTGGCCGGGAGGGGAGGGCATCCCTGTGGTCTTCAGTGGCTGATGTGTATTGTAATAACATTATCTGTTCAGGTTTCCAAGCTGCCCGGGGGTCCTGAACAATCAGCAGTGCTTGGGCGGAATGTTGGAAGGTGAAGAGCTTCCTATGCGCTCAGGTGGGACTGTTCTGAGGGTGTTCTACACCCTTTCTGCCAGCGGTTCCCACTAACTCCCGTGATCCACAGGGTAACCTGCACGTGAATGCCCCCTGTGTGGCCCTCCTGCCTTCCCTGGGCTCACTTCCCCAGCTACCTACTGCTGCTTCCCAGGATCAGTCCTCTCACCAACACTCAGAGGTCCCATAATTACCCCATTTTACAGGTAAGGAAACAGGTGGTTAAGGACCAAGACTGGAAGAACTGGTGTGGTGCAGTGAAGCTGGTCTCATTACAACAGTAAAAACATAAAGTGTGCAGCCTGCAGTGGGTGGGAGTATCCAATTCTGTGTGAGGAGTAGGGGAGGGCACCCCCAGTCCAGAGAGCCTTGAGGCTGAGACTGAAGGGACTTCTGCTGGAGAAGGGCAGAAAGAAGACCCAGGTGGTGGGGGTGGCGTGTGCCAGAGCAGAGGGGTGTGCATGTCTGGTGTTGGAGGCAGGTTGTTGCTATTGCTGAGCTTATTATATCGGGGGAGTGTGAGGCTGGACAGGCAAGCAAGGACGGATCATACAGATCTCCTATGCCTTTCAGAGGTGGCCTGATTTCCCCCAGAGGAAGCCACAGAGGAATTTGGAGCAGGTGAGTGATGTGGTCAGATTCAAGTTCAAAATCAAGGTCAAAAGGCCAGTCTGATATGAGCCAGAGGAAAGATGGGATGTCTTCTTTTCCCTGAGCTAAGAGAATTCACCCAAGTCCTTCCGTGCTCACTACAACTCTAGCTGCCTAGGAAGTGACACGCTTATCAAGGATTGGGAGAAAGGTTACTGGTCAGAAGGTTGCTTCTTTCTCCTCCAGCTGCCATACCTCCATCTTAGGCTCCATCTTACTCTTGGGTAGCCAGGCCCACCAGCCCCGCCGCCGCCGCCGCCTCTGATTTCTGTTGCAGGGCCTGATGACTGGCACCCCACCAGAGAGGGCTCCTGGGCTTGCTTAAGATGTGGCAGAAAGAGGGGCACCTGGGTGGCTCAGTTGGTTAAGCTACTGACTCTTGATTTCGGCTCAGGTCATGATCTCAGGGTCATGAGATTGAGCCCCACATCAGGCTCTGTGCTATCCACACAGTGGACAGAAGAGCATGGCTAGGCAGCCGGGTATGGCCCCCAGCACCCACAGGGCTCTGTTCTGATTCCAGCCTATCTCCTGTGTCCCGGCAGCTCTGGCCAGCTAGGGGTGAGGGGGACACAAACGTTCCTCCAGGCCTCTAAAATGTTTTTCTCTTCAACTTAGGGAGACAGCTGGACCTGGGCAAGGACTACAAGGAGTAGGGATCTTAAGGAAGCTTGGATGGATTTAGAATTGCTCGTCTCATCTATATATATCCCTCCATGTAGCACACATGGAGCATCTGCTGTGTTGCAGACATTGTTAGATGCTGGGATAGCAATGACATTCGAGACACGGTCCCTGCCTGCAAGTGGCTTCTAGTCTAGTAGGGGGAGACAGCCACACACACCAATCCAGTGGCTCATCATAGGTGCCACGAGACACCTGGAGGGTAGAGGAAGTGCCAAAATGTGCACACTCACTGTATCCTGGGTGCAGTATCATGAAAGGATTCTGGAAGATTCTGTGGTGGTTTAGCTGGCTCTTGAAGGGCGCGAGGGTGTTCTTGAGGCAGATGGGGTGTCGGAAGAGGGCGAGACACGAGAGCAGGAGGACGTGCATCTAGTTGTGGATTTACTGCGTGTCAGTCATTGACCAGAGTCGGATGGTGATGGCCAACAGGCAGTTCTATTTCCAGAAGGAGGTTCTGGAATACTTGAGAAAGGTTCTCGGTGGTTGTTGAGAATGAAACAGAAATGAGGACTTTTTGAGGCCGGACCCAAGCTAGCGCGGCTTGTGGGACTTGGGCGTATAGACTGTGATTCGCAGCAGTGGAGTTGGGGCGTGAGTCCCTACTGCTGAAGAGAGTGCTGTGGTTTGGGATCCTATTACATCTTTGCACAACAAAGGATATAATTGGTATGGTCCCCAGGAATCCCTCTCTGGTTTATGGGAACACTCTGCTCCCTGACATCTTATGGAGAGTGACAACCACTTAATGGGAGGAGAAACCGAGAGCGTGGGTGGACGGGCTATGGACGCTATTGCTTTTGAAATGCTCGTAGTGACGGTCTGGATTCTCTGAAGTGCTCGATGTCATACCTCAGTCAGCGGGACTCTGAGAAGGGAAACGCTAGGCTCCTTGTGGGGTCAGAGAGGCCAAGGATGACCTCTTTCTTGCAGCATTTGTTTGTAGCCTCAGGAATTAGTCGTGGAGAAGTCAGGATTCTAGAGAGCCAGGAGGCTGTGGTCTGGACAACACTGTGTGTGTGTGTGTGTGTGTCTAATGAAAGAAGGTACTTCAGGAGGGATGCACACAGAACACAAAGATGAGGGGGGCCCAGAGAAATGCCCCAGCAACACCCTTTCTGGAGAGCTTTAAAATCAAGGTGTGCTTTCTCTTGTTGGTGGGCAGTGTTCACCGAAGACGACGAGATGGCCAAGATCACCTCTCTGAGACTTTAGGAGTCAGTCCTATGTTTTGTGCGTTAGATTTATTATGATTCTTTTTTTAGGGAACCACTTAAATGAATTTACATTGGAAAAGGTCAGAGGAAAATGATTCTGGACCCTAATGGAAAGACTCTTGTCTTAGTCTGTTCAGGCTGCTGTAACAAAATGCCACAGCCTGGGTAGCTTATAAACAACAGAAATTTATTTCTCCCAGTTCTGGAGGCTGAAGTCTGAGATGCCAGTGTGGTCGGGTCTGGTGAGAGCCCCCTTCCCACTCCCATACTTTGTGTGGCGTCCTCACATGGTGGATGGGGTGAGGGAGCTTTCTGGGGTCTCTTGTATAATCAGGGCACTAATCTCATTGACGAAGACTTTATGGAAGTAAAACTAGTGAATCACTAAAGTGGTAATTAGTAAAAGTCGATTGTGCCTACGCCAAAGAGATAGTTTGCAAACCAGGAGCTCTCAGACCAAAGCATGGAATGAGGCTTGGGGACATATTGTTCTAAAACAGCTTAGAACGCATGAAGGCAGTGATTTTTTCTTTACAGTGATTGGTTATAATATTAGAATTTTCTTAAATGATAAGGAAGTCGACAGTGCTTACCTCACATCAACCTGGGGAAACAGTTCACATGTTGCTTGTAATTTCCAGAGGCACAAGCAAGAAATGACCCAGGTCAAGTTAGCCTTGCAAAATAAGCTAAATCAACCTTTGTTTTTATGACTAAACTGTTGTTGGTTTTTTTTTCCTGCTTCAGGAATTTTCAAGGCTGGTCTTCAGTTGTTTTGGATTTTGACGGTTGGGGGGACACAAATATTCCAAGCATAGCAACTCCTGAAAGATATACATGGCGCGCGCACACACACACACACACAAACACACAAACACACACACAGACACACATGCTCCGCTCTTCAGCAAGACCTCCCTTTGTACAAAGTGTGACCTTCCTGCTGGCAAGAAATCGGCCTCTTTTTTCCCTGGGGTTTTTAAAAATAGTTCTTATTGATCCGCTTTGAAGGTTAGTTTCAAATTCTTCATAGGCTGGTTATTTTTTTTTTTAAACTCAAAGGGAAAGAAAGGAACCTGCTGATATTTTTATCAGAGAAGTTTAAATTTCTAATTGACCCAGTGGGTAAAACCCCTCCATCTGCTGCTTAGGAACCTACCCGCCCCCCCCCCCCCGCCCGCCCTCTTCCCGGACTCTCTACCAAGAAGGTGGCCGTTTCATCCAGTGAAATACAGTATTTTCGGGAATAGTTATTTATAACCTGAGAAGTTATGAGTGAAAGGAGGAAGTATTCAGCCGTGTCATTAGAAACCAACTCTAGCTTGACGGTGTGTGTGTGTGTGTGTGTGTGTGTGTTGGGGAAGAATGCACCTCTGGCTGCCCCCACGAGGAGGGACCCCCACAGCCTGTGGCTCCCCAGCCCCCCATGTCCAGGACAAGAGCCCCTCCCACTCCCTTGTTCTGTGGGCGCCTGGTTGACCCAGCGGCCAAGATGCTGCCACCGTTCCGGAGCCATCTGTGAGCCAAGAAAGCGTCCCTGCAGATGAAGCGTGCAGTGAGTTTTGCACAAGGAGCCCGGGGTGCCCCCTGGGCCCCCAACCCTTCTCACAGGCTGGCTATGTGCCTGGCACTGCGTCTGGAACGGTTTCAACTGACAGTGCACCTGATTCCAGCCCATTTGTCAGGATGGTGGTTCAGCTGCAAATACTGGGTTAGCAACAGAAGGAAATAGGCATCCTCCCCACCCCCACCGCCCCTCGCATTGATTTAGGACATTGTTCCACACTCCTTGCATCTTTGGGAAGGTGGGGCCTTCCAGCCTCAGGAGCAGGCTGGCTGAGTAGGGGGTGGCAGGTAGAATTTCTCCAATTCAGGGCTCCCCTGCCCGATTCTTCTCCAACGCAGCCAGGTCGGGGTACCTGCCTTTCTCTCTCCCCGGCTGCATCACGGGCTGCCTTCAAAGTCCACTTTGTCCGGGAAGCATTCCCTGAACATCCTGATCATCCCTGCTCCCGCTGAGGTCCTGCGCAGTTTGAATCTGTGTGGCCCACGTGGGGCACACTTTATCCTGTGCTTGGCCTTGATCTCTGGCTGCATCCTGCTACCCCAGCTCCTGGAAGACAAAGATTATGTTGTTTCTTTTTAGCAATCATAGAAGTGGATCCATAAGAAGGATTCAGTTACATTTCTCTCTCTGGATTAGGTTGTCTAGCTACATTTTTCTTACGTAGCTTTACTGGCTGGTCCCTGAAGGGCAGATTGTGACGATGATTCTTTCGCTGGCACCCCCACCCCAGCTGTCGCCGCTCCTCTGTTGCCTCAGAGAGGATCTGTTTCATAGTCAATGTTTTCATTTGCTCTTCACAACTATCCTTTTAAATAGATGGGACGGGAATTATATTTTTTCCATCAGTGGATAAAAATACCGAGATTCAGAGCAGTTAAATGGCGGTCCCAGGGTCACAGAGCTGACCCTGAACGCTTCTCTGTTGCAGGGAAGACCCGTGGTCCCGTTGGAACCGCAGGTACATTCACGCACGATAGGGCCTTGTGAGCTCAGGGCTCATACAATGTTGCGTAGGGTTAGGATGAATTGCAGGAAAATAGCTGCTGCAGGGGCGCCTGGATGGCTCAGTCCTTAAGCGTCTGCCTTTGGCTCAGGTCATGATCCTGGGGTCCTGGGGTCGAGCCCCGCATTGGGCTCCCTGCTCTGTGGGGAGTCTGCTCCTCCCTCTGCCTGTCGCTTCCCCCTGCTTGTGCTCGCCGTCTCTCAAATAAATAAATAAAAATATTTAAAAAAAAAATAGCTACTGCAGGATTGAAACAGTTAAATCAAGAGGGAGCCCTGGCTGACAGGGGTCCTCCAGGTGGAGATGTGGCAGGCCAGACCCAGCGGCTATGGGGAGGGTGAGGAGGACTGCTTTCAGGGGCGAGGCAAGCCCTCCGTCTTACTGTAGTTATCTGCACCAACCCTGATACTTCCTGCCTCCCTCCCTCCCTCCCTCTGCTTTGGCTGTGAGCGCCTCCTGGGATGCCCCCTCCCCCCTCTCTCACTGGAGCTCCAGGCTGAGGCTGGTTGTCCAGGCGTCTCGTGGATGCTTCTGGGCGTCTGTTCCAGCAGCGCAGCACAGACCGAAGTCTTGCTCTTCCCAAACAGGCGTTTGGGTTTCCTATTTTGGACCCTGATGCCTCCATCTGCTTGGCAGGGAGGCTGGAAACCCTGGAATCCTGTTCTCTTTCCCTCACCAAGTTGTCCCTGGCGTCTGAGGACAAGGGTCCACACCTGCAAGTGCTCCCAGCCTCCACTCCATCTTGTCCTCGCTGCTCCTGCCAGGACAGCCACTGGGACCAGCTCACTGGGCCCCCACCTCGGCATGCCCCCGTTCTCGTTACCGTCTATAAAACAAGGCAAACCATGATGCTCCTTCCTGAGAGCTCCCAGGGGCCTGGTGCTGTGGGCTGAATCGAGTCCCCCCTCCTCCCCCCCCCCCAGGGTCCCATGTTCAAGTCCTCACCACCAGGACCTCGGAATGGGACTGTATTCAGACGTTATCTTAGTCTGCTCGGGCTGCCAAAATAAAATCCCACAGACTGGGGGAGTTTCAACAGCAGAAATGTCCTGTCTCCCCGTTCTAGAGGCTGGAGATCAAGATGCTGGCAAGGTGGGTTTCATCCTGACAGCCCTCTCCTTAGCTTGTAGGCAGAGGCCACCTGGCTGGGTTCACAGGAGACCCCTCTGTGCGTGCCCCGGGGGGTGGGTGGGGGCTCTCGGGTCTCTTCTTGTAACTAATCCGATCTGAGCAAGGCCCCATCCTTCTGATCTCATTTAACCTTAATTACTTCCTTCCAGAAAGGCCCCATCTCTAAATACTGTCATACTGGGGATTAGAGCTTCAACATCTGAGTGGGGAGCAGGGAGGTCACAAACATTGAGTTCCTAACAGAGACAGAACCTTCAAAGAGGTGATTAAGTTACAATGAGGCCATTAGGGTGGGGCCTCATCCAATGTGACTGGTGTCCCTGTAAGAAGAAGAGATTAAGACAGAACCAGGGACACTAGGCAGAGGGATGGCCACCTGCCAGCCAAGGAGAGAGGCCTGGAAGAAACCCACTCTGTGGGCACCCTGATCTCAGACTTCCCAGCCTCCAGAACCCGGACAAAATGAATTTCTGTTAAGTCACCCTATCGATGGTATTTTGCTCTGGCAGCCAGAGCAGACCGATATCGTATGAAATGACATTTGCGGTCTTCTGGGTCCTGGATCCCTCTGCTTCTTCCCCATGCACGCCATGCCCTTGTATACTCCCAGGCCTTTGCACACGTTTGCTCCCTGGTCTGGAACGCCCCTTTTCTCGGTGGCGAGGCAATACATTCTCACCGAGTCGCCCCCGTGCTCTCCTGTTAGAACCAGGGGCCGAAAGCAGACGTGATGTGTGTGGCTCCCAGGCTGAAAGCAGTGAAAGATACGTGTGTACACCCCACATTGTTGTGTCTTCCCCTGCGTCGAGGTCAGGAAAGCAGGTGCTAGAAGGCAGGACCAGGGATGGTAGCAGCCTGGATCTCGGAGTCAGGACACTGAGGGAATGCCCTGGACGTGGGCCCCCTGGAATTCACATTTGCATAAGAGAAATCGATCTTTGTTGTGTTAAGCTTTCAATCCCACAGCGCAGTCTTGACTAATACAGCCTCATTTTCTGCCCAAATCTTCATCTCCTAAGTCCCCGTTTAAATACTACCTTTTTTTTTTTTTTTTTTTTTAGATTTTATTTATTTGAGAGAGAGAGCAAGCACGAGTGGGGGGAGAGGTGGGAGGAGGGGCAGAGGGAGATGCAGACTCCCCGCTGAGCTAAGCAGGGAGCCCGACGGGGGTGATTAGATCCCAGGACCCCCCGGATCATGACCTGAGCGGAAGGCAGACGCTTGACCCGCTGAGCCACCCAGGTACCCTGCTACCTCTTTCTTTAAAAGCTTTCCAGAATTAACCCACGCCCAGTCAGAACTAATCACTTTCCTTTGTACTTTGACATCACGTGTACCTTATGTCTATCTGACAGTGCTTAGTGTCCTGGCTGGTTTATGTACCTGTAGGGTTAGGGACATGGAATGATTAAGAGGATGAATTCTGGAACTGGACTGACTGGGTTCACATCTCACATCTCAGCCCTGCCATTTATCAGCAGTGGGACCTTTGGTGAGGACCTCTGTTCCTATCTGTCCATCTGGTACCTACCAGAGTACCTTCTACAATGATTAATCATTCAGTAGTACCTGCTTGTCAGCTTCCTTCTGTTTTGTCTTGCAGATTGAAGAATTAGTAAAAGACCCACAGAGCCAGAGATGGGGACCAAAGTGTAAAGCCAGAGGGTCCCGTGATTATAGAATCAAGGGCCCTGTAACCTAACAGGTGGTATAATCTATGGGGCAGGCCAGAGCCAGCATAGACTACAGTTCCCTACAAATTAATTCAAACTGGAGGGGCAGAACTCAGGGAGAGGGAGGAAGGAAAGATGAATTCAGTGTCACTTTTGAAATCACTTTCCCTGAAGTCATCATTTTATGCGTCCATCAAGAGACAGGCATACCTTGGAGATATTATGGGGTTGACTCCTGACCACTGTAATAAAGCAAACATTGCAATAAAGTGAATCAAATGAGTTTTTTGGTTTCCCGGTGTATGTAAAAGTTATGTTTACACTATACTGTGGTCTAGTGAATGTGCAAGAGCATTATGTCTGAATACATAATGTACGTATCTTAATTAAAAATACTTTATTTAAAAAGACTTCAATGCTAAAACATGCTAACTCTCATCTGAGTTTTCAGTGAGTGGTAATCACTGATCACAGATCACTGTAACAAATATAATAATAATGCAAAAGTTTGAGGGGCACCTGGGTGGCTCAGTCAGTTAAGCGTCTGCCTTTGGCTCGGGTCATGATCTCAGGGTCCTGGCATCCAGCCCCTCATCAGGCTCCCTGTTCAGCGGGCTCCCTGCTCAGCAGGCTCTCTCCTCAGCGGGGAGTCTGCTTCTCCCTCTCACGCTCCTTCTGTGCACTCTCTCTCTCAAATAAATAAATAAATAAAATCTTAAAAAAAAGAAAAAGTTTGAAACATTGTGAGAATTACGGAATGTGATCCAGAGACATGAAGTGAGCAGGGATGCCACCAACCTTCAATTTGTGAAAAACACAGTATCTGTGAAGTGGATAAAGTGCGGCACAACAAAACAAGGTATGTTGGAAGTTTTATGAATTTTTTTTCTACTGTGATGAATTACCTTGATTGATTTTTAGAATACTGAATCATCCTTGCATTCCTGGAATAAACCCTAGTTGGATGCTTGATTTTTTAAAAGATCTTATTTATTTATTTTTAAAGATTTAATTTACTGATTTGAGAGAGAGAGAGCGCACACACGGTGGGGGGGCGGGGGAAGGGGCAGAGGGAAAAGCAGGCTCCCCACTGAGCAGGAAACCTAACATGGGGCTCGATCCCAGGACCCTGAGATCATGACCTGAGTTGAAGTCAGACGCTCAACCAACGGAGCCACCCAGGTGCCCCTGGATGCTTGGTTTTATTTGCTAATATTTCATTAAAGATTTTGCATCTAATTCATGAATGGGGGCTTTTTGTTTTTTGTTTGCTTTCCTGACACCGATCAGTTTCCCAGTTTTCTGACACCAGCTGGGTGTCTAACAGTTCAATTCAGTTCTGAAACCACCTGCAGTTAGTGTCAGACTCCCCAGGTTTACGATCTCAGCCCTACAAGACTGTCCCCACTTTGGATGCCAGTCCAAGTCCCAGGTCACCAGTACTTCCGATGACTGGCTATCAATCCACAGCACCCCCAAGCACATGGTTGGATAACTCACTAGACCAACTCACAGAACTCACAGATCATTTTACTTACCATTACCGGTTGATTATAATGGATACAGTTTAGGAACAGCCAAATGGCAAAGATGCATGGGGCAAAGTACAGGAGGGTGGGTGGGGTGTTTGGAACTTCCAAGCTCTCTCAGGGTGAGCCACCTTCCCAGAACCTAGATGTGTTCACCAACCCTGATGCTTTCTGAGCCCATCACTTAGAGGTTTTTATGGAGGTTTCATTATGTAGGCATGATTGATTAAATCACTGGACATTAGTGATCGACTCCAGCCCCTCTCCCCACCGTAGAAGTCAGGGGATGGGGCTGAAACTTCAGCCTTCTAGTCAAGACTTGGTCTTTCTGGGGACCAGCCCTAAGGGCCTCCAGCCACCAGCCATCTCTTTAGCATCCAAAAGACACTCTTAACACTGCTGAGACTCCAAGGGATTAGGAGCTGTGTGCCAGATTTGGGACAAAGCCAAATCTTCACTCATTTCCAAGGACAGTAAGCCATAGGGCAAGCTCTGAGGGAGTCAGATGGGAGAGACCAATATTTTCAGTCCAGGCTGGCAGAGACCCTCTTAGCATCTCTTCTCCCACTGTTGGGACTATGCACCTTGCCCTAGCTTGGTGGTCCCAGTCCTCTGCATCCCCCTTCCCCAACTCTCCACATGCTCAAACCTCCTGCATCTTACCCACTACCCTGAATCTCCCCAAGAGCTTCTAAAACAATCACAGCTCCCTCTGCACTTGGTGGGTGCTGTTCCCACAGGAGTCTGGCATCCTCTTGCAGAATAATCAGGAACTACTGTGGTGTGAGCAGCTCCGGTACCTGCTCTTCCACGTAAATGTCTGGACTCAGCCTTTCACAACACAGCTCTTGGAGCTGCTCAAAATATCCTGGGTTGTTGGCATCACCTGGTATGAGAATTTTCTAAAGCACTGACATAAGATCTCTTGCCTGGTGTTATTTTCCTGGCTGCATTTCTGCCCCCAATAGTGTTCTCTTTCCACCCTCCTCTTGCTCAAGTGGAGCATGGGGACCCTAGGTTCTTCGGTCCTTTAATTATTCATTTGTCACAGATGGGTGCTGTTGAGCTCAAACCCCAAGAGCTAGCTCTTCAAATTCCTGGAAATTCCTCTTTTGGGCCACTCTTCAAGTATACTAAATTATGACCAATGTAGATAAATAACAGCTGTTGTTCGGAGCATATATAAAATGCACACAAAGCCAGTCACTACTCAAATTTATAATTAGAAATGGAGAAAATACCTAACAGCTATCTAGATAATTATAGCTATAATCTCTCAACAAGGGACAAATTTTGACTATGTAGCCAATGGAATTGAAGGGTCCTATTTGATTAGAAAATTGTGTGCAGTTAGTCTTAACATCAAGTACAGTGTCATAGAGGAAAGGAGATTATCAAATACATGAATACAGATTTTGGTTCTTGGATGGGTTAAATGGGTGTTGGAGGAAGTCATCAAGAGGACATTGATCACCAGTTGACCCTCAGACTGCACCTGGGCAATAGGAGGTTCCTCACCCCCTCCCATCCTTGGAGTGCACATTCGGCCTGCTGTTCCCATGGTGAGAGCCATTTTCAAGGACGTAGGCTTGAGAGAGCAATGTGTGTTGAGATCATCTGGACAGTACACATGACTGATCCCCATTAAGGCTTCTATATAAACTTTTAAGATTCTGGTGGGTGAAGGTTCTAGAGGGGAGAGGGTGGGAGGATGGGTTAACCTGGTGATGGGTATTAAAGAGGGCACGTTCTGCATGGAGCACTGGGTGTTGTACACAAACAATGAATCATTGAACACTACATCAAAAACTAATGATGTAATGTATGGTGATTAACATAACAATAAAAAATTTAAAAAAAGATTCTGGTGGGTGGATGAGATTTACTCATCTTACGGCCACCCACGGCAAGCCTTGCTTATTAGACCTACTACCTACTAATCTGGGGTTTGCCTTTTCCTTTGGTCTCTCCTTGCCTTCTGTGTACGGGGAACAGTTTCAGATTTCACCCAGGAAGCTCCCAAGGTTTTGAACCAACAACAGGGCCAATAGGAACTTAAATTTCAGAAAGAGATCAAATATATAGAATGAAATCAATCATCAATAGAAAGGACAAAGAGACTATAAAGATCCCACATCCAAACTTGGTGACCTGGGTGCAACTTCAGGGAGGCACAGCTGGATAGAGGCTGTAAACAGAAAAGCTTAAACCAAGTTAATTGCATTAAACTGTAGCTTGAGAAAGAATACGGGGAGAGCATTTCTGAAAGGGATATTAAAGTAGGGAATTTTTATCTTGTCTCTAGCACCACAGGAGAGAGTGCCTTTTACTCATGAAAATAAATATCTAGCCAATCTGACAGGTGTTATCTGTAGAGTGAAGATACCAGACGCCATTAAACTTGGGTATCGTTCTCCTTGTTGATTTCATGCTATTTGTCTTCAATACAATATACCATAGTAAAACAATCTGGTCTCCCACGTAGATCTTCCTTCAAGAAGGAACACACTGTTGGCAAATAAAATTATCCAGATGACTGAAAACTATATTTTTCACTAGAAAGGAATTAACTCACACTCTAGGTTTATACATCAGTCCCTTTTGAGTTTGGTTAGCATTAGTGCGTCTTCTGGAGCCTTCTGCTTACCTCTGCGCAAAGTAATGAAACTAGGTTTCTGGCCCTACACAATGGAACAAGGGCAGTCTAACCTATTCTCACCCTCATCTTTTAGGCAGGTTTTGCTAGAAACCGCAAATTCAGTAACATACTAGGAAGTTACTTCAAAGCTCTCCCTGACAGAGGTTTGTGCCAAACATGTGAAACTACCTCATTAAGAGCTTCTGTTGTTACTTTAGTAACTAAGCAATCCTGAGCAAAGTTCAAGACAATCCTTGTATTACATTTTATTCCGTTAGGGCAAGTTTCCAGTGAATGTCACTTAATGTCATATGTACAAACTCACATGGTTTTTAGCTACATTCTATTTAAAGTAGTTCCTTTTTTTTTTTAATTTTTATTTTATTTATTTATTTGACAGAGAGAGACACAGCGAGAGAGGGAACACAAGCAGGGGGAGTGGGAGAGGGAGAAGCAGGCTTCTCGCTGAGCAGGGAGCCCGATGCGGGACTCATCCCAGGACCCTGGGATCATGACCGGAGCCGAAGGCAGACGCCTAACGACTGAGCCACCCAAAAAATAAATAAATAAATAAAATAAAGTAGGTCCTTCTAGGAGTCCATGAACAGATTTCCTCCATTTGTCATTAAGAAGTCTTAGCTGTAGAATTTCTGCTGGGAACAATTCATGTCCCCCCCCCGAAATAATTTTTCCATTGGTTTATAATTATATATTGATAGTATTTGCTCAATAATATTGAGATATTATCTACTGTCCATGACATGTAAGAGGAAAGGCAAGGAGAGTTTACTTCCTATTCCAAATGTTACATGGTTTGTAGTACTTTGTTAATTATGGACCATTTTCTCAAACGCAACTATCCTTACTGAAATCCAGTCAGATGATTTTCAAAAAAGTACTTTCTGAAATGTCTTTTGAGAAGTGAGAGTGCCTTCTGAGTAGGTCTGCGCCCAGGTGAATGATTTCTTTGTATTTCCCAAAATTTGTTCTGGGAAAAACCGCCCTGGAGAGATATTAATAGGGTGTTACTCAAAAGTTACTGTTGTCAGGGGCGCCTGGGTGGCTCAGATGGTTAAGCGTCTGCCTTCGGCTCAGGTCATGATCCCAGGGTCCTGGGATCGAGCCCCGCATCGAGCTCCCTGCTTGGCGGGGAGCCTGCTTCTCCCTCTCCCTCTACTGTTCCCCCTGCTTGTGCTCTCTCACTCTCTGTATCAAATAAATAAATAAAATCTTAAAAAAAAAAAAAAGTTACTGTTATCAAAATGCTTGAGAAACACCAGGCTAAACAAAGTTAGACAAGTTCCATTACTGCAGGGCTTCTCAGAACAATTTAGTGTTCGGGATGCATGGGTGGCTCAGTGGGTTAAGCCTCTGCCTTAGCTCAGATCATGATCCCAGGGTCCTGAGATCAAATCCCGCATCGGGCTCTTGCTCGGTGGGGAGCCTGCTTCTCCCCTGCCTGCCTCTCCTCGCTTGTTCTCTCTCTCTCTGACAAATAAATAAAATCTAAAAAAAAAAAGTAAAATAACTAGTAAAATAGTTTCACCAAAGAACCCATACCACTAACCACACACAGGAGATGGCAGGCATCATCCTCACTTTATTTTCTAGAATTATTACTTTTTATCCTCACTTAAAATCGAGGACAATCGAGTTCAAATGTTTAGGCAGTCGGCCTGTTGCAAGAAGAGAAAGAACCAGGCCTGTATCCCGCAAGTAATCTGCAATGGCGAGCGTCCCATTTCCCCTTGGCAAGTGGCAGTAACACGTGGTAAGAGGTCTTTCTTTATTCCAAGCCTTCACCCTCCTCTCCCACAGGGAGGGTATTCCGACCTCCTTCCAAATTGCCCTCTGCCTACTCCCCCTTCACCCCGTTCCTCCTGGGCCACGGTTCCTCACGGTTCGACCCGGACCACGATCCCGTCTCCCGTATCTGGCCACAATGAAATACTAAGGCACTTACTTTTGTTTTAGTTACTCAACTGTTCTAAATGCACAAGGAGGTCGTTCTCTCTGGTACATGGGAACGATCCCTAAACTATGTATTTTTCAATTAGGGTGTCGCCACTCTTTTCTACAAGCCAGATGGCCTCGGGAAGTCATCAGAAGGAAACAAGCCCACAGCTCTGGGTATTCGCGGGGCCGATCCCGAGGCATCACCTCGGGGAGAGAGGCCCCGGCGCCACGGCTTCAGGGTGGCCCCTCCGGGAAGCCTTCCTCCCCGCCCTCCAGCCCCGCAGCGCCCCGCGGCGCCCCGCAGCCCCGGGCCCGCCTTCCGGGGCTTGCGCCCACCTCGCTGGCAACCCAGCGCCCGGAACACAAGACACAACGCCCAGCCCACGCCCTCCAACCCGCCCCACGGCGGCCGGTGGCGCAGAGCCGGAAGTGGCCCTCAGCGGAAGTCCGTCTTCCGAGAGTCGCGTTTCCTCTCTAGGAGCTTGGAGGTATCCTCACCTCTATGATCTGGCCCCAGGCGGCGGTACGGCGGGAAGGAAACGGGGGCGCCGGGCGCGCGGGGTAGAGCACCCATCTGTGTCTTTGGCACACCTACTGCCCTTTTTTACGTGTGCATCTGGCAGCACTAGTGGCAGAGAGTTGGGAATTGCCATAAATGGAGATACGGACTCACAGTGGGGCACCCCGGAGGTCTCAACAGTTTTCTAGCTGTTTTTTTTTTTTTTAAGACTGCACTTAATTAATTAATTAATTAATTTACAACCCAGAGATCAAGAGTGGCATGTTTTTATTAGCGGATGCGCACATCCCTTTTTTATTGGCATGAAGTCTAACTTTAAAACAGTAACACAGGTGAAGGGACCCTAAATAATTTTTGAAAAGAGGTTTTACATAGGAAGTACCTTTTGGACTTGAACCCCAGGGAGGGGCTGGACCTGCTGCTCCTCTCTTCTCGGAGACCCAGCCCTTTTGTCCCCTAACACTGCAGGGATGACTGGGCACACCTGTCCTTCCCCTCACCCCTAGGGCCCCACTGGCTCGTCTGTTGATTCAGAGGTTCGTGTTAACCCTCTTATTTGGATTTTCTGCTCTAAAAGGAGAAAGGGAAGACTATGCAAATATAAATACAGAATCTAGTAAAATTAGAATTGTCTGGGTTTATTTTTTAAAAAGATTTTATTTATTTATTTGAGAGAGAGAGAGAGAGTGCCGGGTCAGGGGGAGAGAAAGAAGCCGACTCCCTGCTGAGCAGGGAGCCCAAGGGCTTGATCCCAGGAGCCCAGATCAGGACTCCAGGGGAAGGCAGACGCCTGGCTGAGTCACCCAGGTGCCCCAGAATTGTCTAGGTTTAAATCTAATAGCATCTAACACAAATAAGGGCATGGTGAAATAAGTTCATTCTGGGCAAACAGGATGTAAAGAGGCAATCCTGTTGAAAAACTACTTGGCATTCTATATCAAGGGGGTTGGGGGGATGGGTTAGCCTGGTGATGGGTATTAGAGAGGGCATGTTCTGCATGGAGCACTGGGTGTTATACCCAAACAATGAATCATGGAACACTACATCAAAAACTAATGATGTAGTGTATGGTGATTAACATAACATAATAAAAGAAAAAAAGCTATAATAAAATAAAATTTAATTTAAAAAATTTTAAAAAAGAGAGAAAACCAGTGAGTTATATATATTTTTTAAAAAGAGCCATTTAATGTTTTAGGTTCTGATCAGTGTGATACCATCTGCGGAAAATTCAGCCCAAGCCGAAAACCAAGAGAAAGGAAGAGCTGCACTCCTGAAGTCATTCTGCAGTGGACAACTGCTGATTTTGCTTGCCCAACAACCAGTCTTCTTTTTTTTCTGATTTTGACACTATGATTTTTCTGTGGGAAAACACCTAAGCCTCAGTCTACTTCTGGGGTGGGCTCGTGACCCAGGTCTGGCCAATCAGGATATCCCAGCAGGGCCCGAGGTAAGGCTTGAAGTCAGAACCGGGCTGCCAGGTTCCCAGTTCTGGTTCTGCGGCTTAGTAGGTTCATGGACTTCAGCTTGTTATTTATCTTCTCTGAGTCTCATTTTATCATTTGTTGAATGGGGATATTGATGATAGACGTCCGCTTCATAGGGTTGTGGTGGGGACTAATGAGTGAAGCAGGTGTACTAATGCTTGTTGGGTACGACTGTTACCATTGTTTGCTTCCAAGCAAGCTCTTACCACCCTTCCTTTTTTAGTTTTCCTTTGCCTTCCGCATACTGCAATATCATCTACTGCACGATCCCAGAATTATATTTTATATCTTTCTTTCCCACTGGAAATACCCTGAAGGCAGGACTGTATCTTATTCACCTTTATACCATAGGTGCTTAACTGGTAGCCACCCCAGAAATGGTGCTCAATAAAGGCTTAGTTGGACAAAACTGAATACTCTCCAACACAGAGCGGAGAAATCAGGAACAGTTAATGAAAATGCAATAAATGCTAGATGATGAAAGGGAAGTAGAGAAAACCACATGAAGTCAGAAAAATTTCCTTACAAAAAACGGTCTGATTCCTGGGGATTACAGATTCCATTTTTTCTTGGTCAGGGACTTGTTCTCATATAATGGGCAGATGAGTTCCAGCAATAATAGATTGCTACCTAGGGCGGACTTTGTGAATTATTGTTTCCTTTTCCTGATTTAGAACGCATCTCTTCCCTTGCAGATTGTCGGGAGAAATGACCATTGCCTTTGGAGCATCAGATCCATCCTCAGGATATAAGATACCACCCTGTAAACCCTATACTCCTATGCAAAATTCACACAGATAATGCAAAGTGTACAGGCAGCTTAAGGGGTGAAGGCTTCATTAGGGGCACAGAGGGGGTAGATCAGGCCAGCCAGGAAACCTTTCTCATGGGTGAATGCCTAATCTCTGATGGTGACACTGGGTGAATAATAGCAGCATCCATTTTTCTGCCATATGGCCTTGGAGTCATACCCATCTGAGACTCAAAAATTCTTAGAGTTGGAAGAGATGGACAGGTTTATATAGTTTACCACTAAATGTACTGTAGATCTCATCTTCAACATCTTAGACCATGAACACTCCAACGGCACCCAGTTTCCTGGCCCAAGAGATAACCTATTTAGTTTATGGGACAGTTCTGGTTGCTAGAAAGTTTTCCCACTGAGTCCTAATGTCGAAAACTGACCTCTGTGCTCTGGAGCTGAAATGTAATAGGAAGACAGAGTTTGGGGCTAAAGAGGAACGATAGTTTTATGACTTTGCCAGGCAAAGGAGAATGCAGCAGGCTAATGCCTTCAAAATTGTAGACCCACCCAGGTTAAAAGATTGAGGGGTTTTATAGGAAAATACAGGATCTGGGTGGTTTCGATAAGAATCTGGTCCACGCTACTAGCTGGGTTGGTCACATCTCCAGGGGGTCTCATCACCAGCAGGGGCACCAGCCATTGGAGTCTCGTTACTAAGTATACATTGAGATCAGCAGGATGTCAATATCGACACCGAGTTCCTGGAATAAAGGATTCCACAGAAAAACAAGTGAAGGGAGGAGGCTTTGAGAATGAGGAAGAGAAAAAATTGTTCAGTGTAAAGTCAAGCCTTGCTGAAGCATTATGTGCCCATCTTAATTTCCATCCATTTTTATGTTTCTATCGTTCTTTCCCTAATTGCTCTTTATGTAACTATGTCCCAATTCAGGTTTTGCTAATCCTTAGCAGTCTTTGGTGCTACACCATGAATCTAACAGAGAAGGACTTCCAACTCCCATCCAGTATCTCTGTGGTCACCAATGTCACATTAGTAGGGAGTATTTACACCACAGCAATGGGCAATGCCACAAATCAGATCGATCTCCTGCCAAAACCCAAACCAAAACCCAAATCCAGAAACCACTACTTACAAGCCATCGGCGGCCCTTATCCCTGGTGAAACTCATTGATTAGGAGGGGATATAGGCTATGCATTAAGTATCTGCAGCCCAAAGTTGTGAGTGGAAAACGCGAGGCACAGACTCCATGCCGAAGGAGTGGGGAGGAGGAAAGCATCCCCTCAGAGAGTGCAACTTGATCTAGATTCTGATGGAGGCCAGCAGAGAGCATCTCATTTGTCAAATACAGCATGAGGGGATTATCCGCAGAACCACTGGCAAGAGAAAAGACATAATGGTGAAACAGATCCACCACGTGCTAGAGAAAAAGCACATTTCAGGACTGGCTAGAAAAGGACCCTCGTGTTGATGAGCAGGGAAACCGTGGCTGAAAAATCACATTTGGCCTGACCCTGAAAGAATGAACTTTGCTAGGGAGGTGAATGGGAGCCGCTACAACTTTTTGAGAAAGGGGACATCCTAACAATAGCAATAGCTTGGGAAAATTAAATCTCTGGGTTTGCACTTTTAAAAATTGAGGTGTAATTCACAGACCATAAATGTCCCCCTTCTAGAGTGTATAGCTCAGCGGGTTTAGTATATTCACGAGGTCGTTCAACCATCACCCATTATCTAATTTCAGAATATTTTCATCACCCAAGAAGAAACCCCATACTCACTAGCAGCCACTCCCTGGGATTCCTTCCTGTCCTAAAGGTTTGTACTTTTTTTTTTTAAATAAAGATTTTATTTATTCATTTGACACAGAGAGCATGAACAGAGGGAGAGGTAGAGGGAGAGGGAGAAGCAGACTCTCCACTGAGCTAGGAGACCAATGAGGGACTCGATTCCAGGACTCTGGGATCATGACCTGAGCTGAAGGCAGATGCTTAACCATCTGAGCCACCCAGGTGCCCCAGGAGGGTTTGTACTTTTTACAAAACACCGAATCTAGTGTCTGTAACGTGGCCTGAGGTTTGGACCCAGAGGGACTGGCTACCAAAGATAAACAGAGAACGGGAAAGCAGAATTGGCTTTTCTAAGGTTCAGGTGATGTATCCAGACATCTCTCTTTCTCTCTCTAACTAGAGAAAAGGAGAAGAAAGAAAGAAGAGAGAGAAAGCATTATTAGATCCACACATGGGAGCAAAGAGAAATGAGCAGGGGTGAAGTAGGTCTTCAAATGCAACATCTGAAAAAAGTGAGTTACAGATGTTAAAAGATATTCTTGCAGGGGCTAATGTTTTTATTTTCTTTGATTTTCCTTTATGGGTCATCTTCCTATACCCTTTCAGACGTTGCCTTTCCTAGGGAAACCAAGGGAAAAGCAGAAGGGGCAGGGACTTTGAAAAATCACTTGTTTTGGAAAGCCTTAAGCAAGACATTTGCTCTCTGCTGCTCTATGGTCTCTTCACGAAAGGCAGTGATGGTGGCCGGCAGCAGGAGGAGGGGCTGAGGACCTGGGCTGTGGTGCCTGAGCCACCCACACAGGCAGGGGGAGAGTCTGGGTGTCAGTAGAGGACCCCAGGCTGCGTGCATTTGGTTTCAGAATCCTCGAAGGATGGGCACAGCGTGTCTGACAATAGAAGGGGACTTCAGTGAGACTAAGACTACTGGGGTGCACCAAATGATACATTTTCCTGGGGTCTCTTCTCCTAAAGTGGGTCTTTCTTGCCTCTCACCCCCACCCCTCTTGATCACTTGCAGGAATGGTTGGGGTATGTAGATGGTAGCACTCAGCACTTTTAAAAATTTACTTTTTTTAAAATTTAAGTTCAATTTAGTGCATATATAGTGTATTATTCATTTCAGGGGTAGAATTTAGTGATTCATCAGTTGCATAGAACACCCAGTACCAGTGCTCATTCCATCACGTGCCCTCCTTAATGCTCACGACCCAGTTACCCCATCCTCCCACCCACTTCCCCTCCAGCAACCCTCAGCTTGTTTCCTAGAGTTAAGAGTCTCTTATGGTTGGCCTCCCTCTCTGTTTTTATCTTATTTTATTTTTCTTTTCCTTCCCCTATGTTCATCTATTTTGTTTCTTAAATTCCACACATGAGTGAAATCATATGGGCACTCAGCACCTTTGAATGTCTGTTACATGGAATCCCGTTTTGGGGGAAGCTGGTTCAAGTTCAGAGGGGCATTGCTTTGCAGGGAGCATTAAATCCCACTCCGTCTACCTTGGGGCTAATGGAGATTTATTCTACCTAGAACACTAAAATCATATGATTTTAAAATAGGAGAGGACTTCTGAATTCATCAAATTTGATACTTTCTTATTACTAATAAGAAACTAATGACTCGGAGAGATTAGGTGACTTGGTTAGAGATTAGGTGACTTGATCCAACTAATTCATAGTGACAGAAAAGGGACAGGTAGTTGCCTAGGGACAGTAGGGGGAGGGATCACAAAGGACACTTCTGGGGGTTATGGATATGTTCCCTATCTTGATCATGGGTGTGTTTGCATGGATGTATACATATATTAAAACTTATAAAATTGTACACTTTAAATATAGTGCTTTTTGGTGTATGTCAATTACACCTCAATAAAGCTGTCTCAAAAAAATCACACATCCTCTGAGAACTAGAGCAGGGCCTAGAACACACATCTTGTGCCTTGAGACCTTCACACCTCCCCTTAGCCCCAACACTGTCTTAAAATCAAAGCCTACTTCAAGTTGTGAAAAATGCCTTTTCTCTTAATGTCATTTTTAAAAACTCCACAGTTCCAAATTTTCTATGATGTAAAATAATAACACCCTTCACCAGAAAGTAGCAGACGTCATTTGAGAAAGTTCCAGTGTGACCTGGTCCGTAGATAGATAGCAGGGTACCCCACAGAGTTGGGAGGAGGGGGTGGGACAGAGCAATGTGTGGTTCTGTTCTGTTTACCTGTTTATCTCTGGTGATCCTTGTGAAAAGTATGATCTCTGGATGCATCCAGACAATGTAATTTAGGATAAAAAAGGATAAAGGATGGGGCTTTTATAGGACTGTACTTTGTGATGTACTGTACTTTTGATGGCCCCTAGTGGGCCAAGATAATTTCTGAGAAATCCCTGGATGAGGAAGAGGAATGGAACCTCCTAGAAAGGTTCCAAGTCCTCTTTTTCTTCCACTCTCCCAGATTGAACAGCCAGGATCACCAAGTGTGGCCAGCTTGCTGAGGTCTAACATAGCTTCTTTGCGGAGAAGGTGAAAGTACGGTGGGAAGGGGGTGTGTGCTTCACCTGCACTTCACTTTATTACTGAACCAGAGCTGACCAGTGGGTGCACCAAGAGATTCTGTCCCTCTGGCCTGGTATGCTCACTGTGGGAAAATAAGGCCCTCTAGTTTTCCTACAGAATACATTTTCATGAGCGATTGCCTCTCTAGCAGGTGCTAGGAAGAAACATTCATGCATGGAAGGGTTTTTTTTCTCTAAATGAGAATAGGATTGCACATGTAATACACACTTGTAACAAATTCAAACAAGACAAAATTATATGAAATGCAAACAAGTGGTAGAAAAGGGCAGTGGCCCGGGAAGTCAGATGAGTTCGACGTGATTTCTGTCTGAGTCAGGGAGACATCTGTGTAGGTAGGGAGGTGCTGTTAATGAGTTGTTCAAAGTGCTCGGGGACACAGGATCAACTCTGAGAATGATCCTCTGGGCTTCTGCATTATCAAAGACATTTAACATATCATGCTGCTTCTTTATGGTTTACCTGCCCTGTGTCCCTCCCACCTCTTGAATCCTTTGCCTTCGTCTGCGTGGCTCTGTGCTCCAGGAGGCTGACCCTAACAGGTGCATTACCCAGACTCCACTACCCCCTGGCTTCTGGTCAGAACTGAGCAATGGGAGGCACCAGGAGGAGAGCAGGTCAGAGTATTTATTCCCCTGGCATCCTATCTAGCCATGGCTGTGTCCCTCCAACATGACAGCCCTGCAAGGCAGCCCCCTCCACCAAGGCTCTAGCTCCCCAGCCCTTTGTTTCTGGATAACAGCAGTGGTTTCCAAGGTTGTGGATCTCTGGTTGCCTAGACCTCTTTTAGGGGTTCCCATAACCCTGCCCCACCTCTAAGAAGACCCTTTGTGAAGTCTCTGCCTGGAAGTGGTCTGATACATCCATCATGTGGGAATGAACTGTTGAAGATTCTGTCTCCCCTCCCAGTCTGGAAGCTGGGAGCCTGGCTTTCTAAAGTCTTATCTCCTCAGCACTGAGCGCAGTGAACTGAACTAAACTGTTGAGCTGGCCAGGGACATTTTACTGGGAGATGACCTTAGACCTGGGTTTTAAAGGACACTGCGGTATGGAGGACCATGTCATTGTGCCTGGACAAGGTTTATCCTACAAGGGACAAGGTTCAGGCCCATATCGATTACACTGAATAGTATCCAGGGCAACATGACCTGTCTGGGGTCTGAATGACACCCTCTTGTTAATGAGGAGGAGGTCACAATAGTGACAATGATGATGATGGAATGCTCACTTACCTGAGTCCTGGGAGGATTTCAGTTTTGTATCACGTCCCTCTACCATGCTGCAAGATAATATTTGCTTTTGGGAGTCAATCCTTTTGTTGAGGTATGGTTTACAGACTGGGTCATGCTCCAATTTTAAGAGTACAGTTGGGTGAGTTTTGACAAACTTATTTACTTGTGTTACCACCATTCCCATTGAGATATAGAACATTTCTATCACTCCAGAAAGTTCCTTTACACCTCTTTCCATTTAATCCCTGACCCAAAGCCAACCATTGTCTGATTCCTGCCCACCTCCCTCTATCCAATCTCCTGAGACCTTGTGTCCAATGCATTCCTCACCACCCCCCTCAAATGATGCTAATCCTTGCCTCTGTGCATATTCTTTTGCTGTTGTCTGATGTACCTGCAGCAATCCCTTTTTCCTTTAGGACTCCTCTTCCAGGAAGTCTCCCTGATTTTCTCTTCCACTTGGGCTGGATAAGGTGCCCTTCTACAAAGTTCTGTGTTGCATTGACTGGATCTCCATGATATATAGATTCGAATTATAACATATTTTTGTTCAAGTATTCTTCTCCCCCATGAACCTGTGAGCTCCTCGAGACAGGGACTGGGTCATATTCTGCTCTAGCTCAATGCCTGGCATGCAGTAGTTTGTTGTTTAAATGAATAGGCGAATTAAATCAATTCTATTTTTCAGGACACTGTCACTAAAGTCTTGACACCACATTATGTTTTAAGCCCCTTTGGTTGCAAGAAACCAAGGACTCAAGTTACTTGAGAGGATTTGTGGAGATGCATGTGCCCTTGGAAAGGCAGGGAGCCAGGTTAGCTCTAGGGACTTCTCGGTTGGCCTCACGGCCCCTCCTCTGCTCTCAGCCTGTTTAGTTTCTTTGCTTCTTTTTTTTCCAATGGGCTTCCTCTGCTCAATTTTCATTTCTGTTGCCTTGTAACTTCACCTCGCACTTGGCCTCAGCTTCCTCTGGCCCTGACTTTACCTCTGTCTGGCTCAAGTTGACTTTTGTGAAGGTAATAATCTAGCAAGTTCATCTAAGCTTTTCAGATCCATATCATGGAGTGGCTGCTGGTCACATCTTCAGCATCCCTGGTCCAATGAGCTAAGGGAGGGTGGGTCCCACAAAGCAAGGTTGCTCGGTAGGGCAGGGCCTGATAGAAGGGAAGGAGAAGACATTGGCAGGCATTATGGGGTCTCTCCTATCTGATTATTAAGCAAGATCTCAT